CTTTCTTGTTTACTGCAGAACTGAGTGTCTAGGTGTCAAGTGTCTGGAATTCTGTAGGGCAAATTTACTATTTACCATATCTCCTTCTATGACATTCTAAGCTGAATTGTTGAGTTAAGGGAATTTTTAGTGGTCTTGATAGGCTGTTAATTGTCTACTTTGTGGCACACCTTGTAATGGACCTTGTTATTGTGCTATATGCACACATATGTGCACACACAATTGGCATTATAGCTCTACCAGATAGTAAGTACCACCCCTGTTGTACAACTGAGGCTTACTTAATGTGACTTTCAAATTTCTAATTATTATTTTGTATTTGAGCTTGGAGACCAGCTGAAATCTGTGTCATTTCGGAGTTTATAAACACGTTACCGTAGTATACTAGAATTTATTTGGACTGGAGATGGAACGTTAGATTGACTGGGGATTCTAAGTTAGAAATAAGTGCCTTGTTAAAATGGATGACAGTAAGGATTTAGGTTGGATAAAGAGGTAAAGTACTACCGGCTGAGGAACTGGGCAGAGATAGGGGGCTTTATTTGAATATAAAGACGTAGTTTGGGCAAATTTTAGATTCTAGGATCTTAGATCAAGTACTTATAGATCAAAAGCTGTGGGTCTCAATTCGAGGTGAAAGAAGTTGTATCAAAATCCCCTGGGGGAGGCAGGCTTTATTCAAAGGATACAGGTGTATTACTCATCTGTCATTTAAGAATTCCTTTTCTAAGATGTGGTGAGGCCTTTGGAATACAGAAGATTGAAGTACCCAGCTTCTAAATCCCTGACAGCAATTGATTTTCTAGCATGTTACTTTTATGTAATGATGTACTAACAGGATAAATGCTAAAAAAAGGTAGGAAGCTGTATGTATAAGAATCATTACCTACTTGATTGAATAGATAAATGAATACCAGCCATGGGTTTTTGTGGAACTGATGGTAAACACTCATTTTTTTGCTCTTTTATGCACTTGACATGTGAATAACGAAAATTTACTTTTCAGTGTTCACAGTCAGTTTATTCTATTGACCTTAAAAACAAACAAACAAACAAACAAAAAAACCAACTTGTTCAAGGGTACTACGAAGTTTGTCGAAAAATGGAACTAAAAGATAATGTTAATCTTTCCACAGACTTTTGGAAGTACCCATGTACATATGAAAATTTTTTGTGCTAAACAAATGAGCTGTTGTAGTTACACCCCAAACTTGGCAAGAAATTTGTAAGGCCTCTAGATTTTATTTCATCTTAGTATTAATAAAATATTTAACTTAAGTAGTTACAGTTGATTCTTGAACAAGGCGGGGATTAAGTTTGCTGATTTCTTCAGCAGTTGAAAATCCATGTATATTGTGTAATGTTGAATATGCTAATTGTCCTCATTTGAGCATCACATATTGTACACAGGTATTGCTATTCAGTGGTGTATCCCACAGATATGTACAATTAATTAGGTTTTAATTTAAAAGAGAAAAAGAAAAAGGACAGAAAATCCATGTGTAACTTTTGACTCGACCAAAACTTAATTGTTATCCTACCCTTGACCAGATGCCCTACTGATAACAGTTAATTAACATGTTTTGTATGATCTGTGTATTTTATACTGTGTTCTTACAAAAAGTCATCTAAAGAAAAGAAAATGTTAAGAAAATTATAAAGAAGAGAAAATAAATTTATAGTACTATGTGTATATTTACTTTTTAAAAATCTGTGTATAAGTGGATTCACACAGCTTAAACCCATGATATTTATGGGTCAGCTGTGTGTGTATGTGCATGCACGTGTGCATGCGTGTATATAAATGTTTTAAAATCTAGGACCTATACATTTCAGCAAGTGAATAATGTATGGTAACTTTTTTTTTTTTCACAGTTTAATTTTGTTGGTAGAATCCTTGGACCCAGAGGACTTACAGCCAAACAGCTTGAAGCAGAAACAGGATGTAAAATAATGGTCCGAGGCAAAGGCTCAATGAGGGATAAAAAGAAGGTAAGTCCTTGAAAATGGGGCAAGTCTTTATGTGAATAATTTATTTAAACTTTTGCATCCTAATAATAAAATATTCAGATATGGATACTTTACTCCATATCAGAAACTTTTGAACTTTTTTAAGGTGGTGGAATGATTTTACCTTGTTAATAATCATTTTTCTATTAGCAAACTAAAGCATCTGTTTATGATGTTAATTTACTTTGGTATTTACACTTGAGAAGCTGCCAGTTTAGAAATTAGTCAGACTGTACTGTCGTATATAAAAATATACAACTAAAAGCTTGAAAAATCTAAAATTTTTTTTGATGAGATTTAAATCAGAACAGTCAAATGAATCACTTTGGATGTATGTCAACTTATTGGGAGAGTTAGAAGACAGAAATCTATTAAAATGACTCATTTTGGTTTTTATGAACATCTTGTGTTGATTTTAAGTTTTCTAGACATGCTGCTTTATATTACTTCTGTTTTTTCTTCCTTGCCCCTTCTTGTTTGGCGAGTTTAATTAGTAAACATCTGACTGTCTGCTTTAAAAATTGTTGTTAAAAAGATTTTGTTTGCCTAGTTTTCTTTTATCCAGTGATACTATGAGGCAGGATACTTTTGAATTTCTATCTGTGTAAGAAAATCACTGATTTAAAATACCTAGATTTTGATTGCCAGAGGATTAAATTATTGTTAGGAAGAGTGATTTTTTTTTTCCCCCTTAAATAAATACATTGACTTGAAAGGGCTACCAAGTGATAGAGCTGTGGTCAGCTTATGTCGCAGCATATGCATTGAGTTGCTTTGTGGAGCTTATGGAGAGAAAACCAGACTCAAGTTATCCTGACCTAATTTTGCTTGGTTTCAGAGCTTTATTTAAGCCCTTACATTAGCTGACTGGATCTTAATCATTTTTGCTCCCTGCACATGAATGACATAGTAGCTAAGAAGTTTGGGGAAAAAGTCCTTAATATTAAATGATTATGTTTAAATCTTATTTTAACCTGTTCTTATCAGCTGAGTTTAAAGATATTTTCATGGAAGTATACAAGTTCTCCTTGAGCATTATTAAATGTTGCATTTAAAAAAATATTATTTTTATAGAATCTTAAAAAAAACTAAAGCATATTCTCAATCAGCTGAGTGGTAACCTTTTTACATGAGCCGTTGCCATAAAGTTTTGGTTTCTATGTTTGGACTTATGATTACATTTGCATTCAGTATTACTAATTTAATTACCTAGGAACAGTGAACGGAGTCTGCACAACTGAAGGACAGATAAATCTTCGCCATAAGAGTGACATGTATCTACCCTTCAGTTAAATAAATTATTCTATCAGTTAACAAAATATTTTTTTCTCCTGAGATTCTGTTAATTCTATAGTAATAGCCCTCTACTCACTTTACTCACATGCAGACAACAAGGATGAGAGCCTGGAACTGTGTGATTTAGCTATCATGAATAAAGAGCATTTTCTGCTGTCTTTGGCAGAAGAATGGAATGGTTAAAAGAGTGGCTCTGCAGTCAAATTGCTTAGGTTTGAATCATGGTTCTCCTACATAGCTTTGCGACCTTGGACAAATTACTTAATCTCCTTGTAAAATGTAAAATGTGAGTAGTAATGTTACTTATTTCTTATAGTAGTTGTGAAGATTGAGTTGTAAAGCAATAAAGACAGTGTTTGGCATGTAGTAATTGATCAATTAATGTTAATGATGGTTCTTAATAAATTTTATCTCAACTCTATAGGTTAGAGTAGTAAATTTTATTTTTAGACTCATGTAGTATCCTGAGGTAATACTACATTTTTTTCAGCTTGGGAAATGGTAATTTCTTGTTTTGTAACCTTTGAATATCCCACATCCTCATAGGTTTTCTGTTTTCTTTTTTCAGTGGTTGGTGCTTCCAAATTCTGCCCTTGTTTTCTCTCTCTCTTTCTTTTTTTTGGATGGCTTCCCGGTACAGCGATCCAAACCTTTGACATTGGTGTTACAAAGCTGACCAACTGAGCTAACCGGCCAGCCCTACATTCTGTCTTGACTACTTTGCTCTTAACCACAGTAGAAACACTTCACACATTTTACTTATTTTTAACCTCTACCATTGTCTAGTGTAATAAAAAAAAAAAAAAAACACAGGTTATACACACTGCAAGAAAACAATAATAAAATTAATTAAAATGCCAAAAAATAAAATTTAACTATGGATTACATTTTCAGTTTTATTAAAATGCTACAGATGAACTTGCTTTGGATTTATCAAGTTAATTTGACTGGCTCCTGTATATTTGGTATTATGTTATGTGAATTCTTTGAAGAATTCACGTATAAATTTATAACACCAAGAGTGTCTTCTCTGGTCTTACTTCATATCTGTACATAATAAATTGTTAACCAAACCATCTTGGTTTATGCTATAGTTATTCTGTTGCAGTCTTAAAAGTGTTAATAGTAAAAGTAAAGTCAAACTGGAAGGTATTGTCTTTGTTGCTTGGGTGTTTTTTGATAGAGCATATGACAAACAGGTGTAGACAAAAAGAAGTGTTGATGTAAGTAATTAGGTTGATTGAGGTGGATTTCAAGAATTACAAAGGACAAGCCATTTGGCTTTTAGTGTTTCTGCAGAGTTGTCAATGTATGTAAAAAGTAAAAAGGTAGAAAATCTTAATTTACTGATTGTCTAATTTACTTTTAACAAAAATAATATGATGGAAATACTGTTTGCAGGTCTGAATCCTTCACTAAACTTGTAAACTTAGATCAGACCATATCTTTTATGGAGTATTTATTTCCTTGGTGTTTGGTTAGTACCTGGAACAGAGTAGGCACAAGAAAAAATATCTGTGAAAGCAGTGACTGTTTAGTTCATTTAATAAATTAAAGGCATAGATGCACCTCCTTCCTGTCCCCCTCAAAAAAGGTTTGGCAAGTAGAGAAAATTATAAACCCTACATACTTTTAATTCTTTTGGGAAGATAGGTAGTACTGTATCATTCTAAGCTACTGGTTTTAAGCAGGCAAGTTAATATGCAGCTTTAATCTTTATTCTCTTGGATTGGTATTACTTCAACATTGATGAGCTCAGCAGCATTGATTTTGTATGTAAGTACGGAATGGAATGGTACCTAGGTAACATCATGGAACCAACTGAAGAGCAGGAACTTCAGTCAGACTTCATGACAGACTGTGATCAGGGCTTAGAAAGCTCTTAGGAACTTTTTGTCTGTACCAGCTAACATGGCAGTATTGATCTGTAGCAGGCAGACTGTACCTTCTGTCTCTGAAATTAAGTATATGGTAACAGGGCACACTGTTAGAAAGTGTCTTACAAATGAAAGTCAATTTTCATTTTTTCTTATGATTTGTAGAGTATGTACTTTCATCAGGCATTGTTTTAAGTATTTTACATGCATTTGTTTTAATTAATCCAAGCTTTATTATTCCCATTTTGTAGATGAGGAAACTGAGGCTCAGGCAGGTTTAGTAATTTGCCAAAGGTCACAGTGCCAAAAAGTGGCAGTCAAAATTTGAACCTAAAGTCTGTACTCTCTATTCAATGGTATATTACCTTCCAGTTACAAACCATTTCTAAAAGGAGTAACAACTTCAGAAATACCAGAACAACTTGAATATTGAGTGACTTTGAAGCCAGTATGAATATATTTCGTAAAATCCCTCTAAGCTTTTTTTCCCCTCAGTGTGATAATACAGTTGAAATTTTGTTCTATCTATTAAAGATGTGAGGAAAACCAAAGTGTTTTTTCTACTCTCACATACCACTCAATATAATACATTTAACACCAGATGTGTGGTGATTTTCACCCACACACCAACCAATTAGTTTTCCAGGGGACACTAACTGGGAGTCACATAATTCAATTAAATTCTGACACTGTGTATCTGGAGATAAGTATCAGATCCCACAGGTTGAAGGCTCAGTCCCACAAGACTGCCCCCTCCTTCAGTTGCCAACTAGAAGTCCCAGTTGTGATCTATACTTCCGACCAACTGGCTATAAATGTTTTCCCATGAGTCCTCTCTTCAAGTTCTATTAATTTGCTATAGCAGCTCATAGAACTCAGGGAAACTCTTACGTTTACCTATTTATTATAAAGGATATTGCAAAGGATGTAGATGAACAACCAGATGGAAGAGACGTAAAGGGCAAGGTATGTGGGAAGGGGCTTCCATGCCCTCTCCAGGCACACCACTCTCCAGGTACCTCCATGTGTTCAGCTATTGGGAAGCTCTCCAAACCTAGTCCTATTGGGTTTTTATGGAGTTTTCATTGTGTAGGCATGATTGATTACCTCATTGGCCGTTGGTGGTCAACTTCAGCCCCTCTCAACCCTCTAATTACATGGTTGGTTCTTCGGCAATGAGCCCCCAGCCGTCAGTCATCTTATTAGTATACAAAAAGACACAAATTACTTTGGAGATATAAAAGTTTTAGGAGCTGCGTGTTAGGGAACAGAGAACAAATATATCTATCTTATTATAAATCACAGTATTGTACTGTCATTCACTTGATTTTTCAGGAATGCTTCCTAAAGGATACAATCCTATGTTTTCTAACAGAAAACCATATACTTAAAGAAGTTTACAGATGATAGAGAAGTAATTTTAGGAAAAGTAAGTATTTATAGTTTTTCAATTGAAGTAGCAGAGGACTGCAGAGGCTACATTGAGGGCTGCGGGAAAAACATATTCATGATAGAAGGAATGGTCCACCTTCACAAACAAAAGTGGCACTCAGCTGGTTCTAATGTAGCATATGAAAACATTTACATCATTAAAACACAACAGTGTTTTGTACATAATTAAGATACTTAATAAATTGTTGTGGATTGATAGGTATTACTTGATAAATTATTGTGGAGTGACAGTTATTAAAGTTGTAAATGAAGTCTACTGTTTGGAAGTCTGTATGAATGGTCTTTGTAGGGGACACCATTTGGGGTGACCTCCCCTGTCAGTAACATGAGGGAACTAAGTAGCCATGCTATTGGGTT